CGATCCGGATCGCCGATCCGGATCGGTTTTTTAGAAGCCCAATCCAGGTCACCGATCCGTTTTTTAAACCATTGCTCGAGAGTATTTACAAATTTTTTTCAAAAGCCTTAGCATCATTATATTCAGGGAAGAGATGGATCACGTTATTTCTTTACCTGAGGCAGCATTTGTCAAGGATAGCCAAATCTTGGATAGTGCATCTACAGTCCATGAATGCATCCATTCAATATATAGAGACAGAATTCCAGTTGTTTGTAAGATGGAATCAATGGATTCCAGAATGTTTATGCATTGTCCACCTCTTTATTGTCATTAATGGCTCCCCTAAGGGTTTCTTGAAAGCTCCCAAAGGAGTAAGACAGGGAGACACTTTGTCTCCGTTTTCTTTTCATTTTTAACAGAGGCTTTAAGTAGTAGGCTTCATGGAGTCTACAAGGCTAAGTGATTGTTAGGAATTTAGGTTTCTTAGAGTGGTCTGTTTATATATCACTCACAATGCGGATGCTACCCAAATTTTTTCAAAATTCTACTAAAGAGCAGATGGGGAAGTTATGGTTGTTCCTTCACTATTTTTACATGGCCTCAGGTCGCAGGGTGAACAGGGAAAAAAATGAGGCTGATGGAAGTGTTGGTTCCTGTCCACAAACTGATCGAGCTCACTGAGGGTATTCATTGTGGGATTGATAGCCTGCCCAATAGGTATTTTGGTATTTTCCTTTGCTCAGGTAAGCCACAAATAGTAGTGAGGGTGGCATCCTCAAGAGGTTCCAGAGGATAGAACACAAGACTGTTATCTTTGGGTGGGAGGATCACCTTAATCAAATCTACTTTTTGTCCAGGTTCCCCATATATTGTCTGTTCCTTTCCACAATTCCAGCCTTAGTAGCAATCACATAGAGAACTTGATGAGGTGGCCAGGTGGCCTCTATGCAGGTCATGGTGCTGGCAAGGCTGTGTGTTTGAATTTGTAAACCGTGACCCCTTTGCCTGGCTCTTGGTGGGGACACCGTGGCTGTATATATTTCAAGTGTATAATGGAATACTATTGGGCTACAGCCCTTGACTATTGCTTGTGTGTGACCCTCGTGTGTGTTCATGCTCTATTTTCTTGTGTGGGTTTCTGGAAGGCTGGTCTAGCCTTTGTCTAGGTAGAACTTAGGCTTGGCACCACACAGGGTGGGCCGTAAGAATTTACCCCATGTCATTTGGTATCAGAGCCAAAATGTTGGTCAACGAGTGTGACCATGGCTGGTGCTATAACTGAAGTGCATGACTGTGTTGACCATGTTGATTAGTTGGAGCAACTCACCCATGGGGTCCAGGATGGTGGGTTGGGGCAGAGAAGAAAAGGTATCTCTATAGGCCAAAGAGCAAAGGGGGATTGGGAGCAAAGGGGAATTGGTCTTAAGACAATTAGGTCAATAAACCAGCTTTACTTTCTAATTGGTGGTGGAGATACGGTCTACTAAGTGAGCATCTATGGAAAGAAGTTGTAAAGAAGAAATATGGTGAGGAGAGAGGATATTAATCAAAGCCTACCTAACCAATCAAAGGCTTTGTGGCATATGGAAGAATATTAATAAAAGCCTACCTAACCAATCAAAGGGTTTGTGGAACATGGAAATAGGTGAACCGTTGTAGGCTGGCCTTTGTGTATACTGTACAATATATGGAAGAAATGGGAGCAGGACTAGGTTCTGGTCAGACCCTTGGAGTGGGTCACAGCCTTCTAAAGAAGCCTATCCAGCCTGGTTTTCTCTGGCCCCAAAGCTTGTAAGTGACTGTGGAGAGTTAGCTGAAGGCTCTGGCATGAACAATATCTGAACCCTAGGCTCAAGGCAACTATTGAAGCATGGAGAGATTGAGGCCTTCCAAAGTTTGCAGCTCTTGCTCAGGATTTTCTTCTTTTCATCTAGGAGGATAGAGACTTCTGGGGACCAGACAATACGGGGTGCATTTTCCTTTAGTTCAATGTATAAAGTTATTAACTTGTTATTTGGAGTGAAGCAGATAACTCAATTGCTAGCAGAGTGTGGTCAGTCCTGGCCCCCATAAAACTGAGGCGTAGTGCCAGGCAGAATGCTCACCCTCAATAGTTTGATGGAATCTGGTATGGCGATCACGAATATGTGTATTATGCAAAGCAGAGCGTCTATCATTTGGTTTTGCACTGCCTCTTTAATAAATGATTTTAGACCTTTTCTTGGATTTATTTGGAGTTGTTTGGGTCCAATCCTCCCCTGTTGAGGGCATGACAAAGCAATGGTTCTCCCTGCCACTTCCCAAGGTGGGTCTTACATGTGGATTTAATGGTATTGGCATTTCTCTAGCTGGTATGGTTGGAATGGAAAGGAAAGAAAGGTGCTTCAACAATAAAAACCCGAGGAGTTGAAAGTATTAAACAGATTATAAGGGCCACAGTTGCTACATGGGCAAGAGCTTAAAAGGAATTCTGGGGCCTATCCATGAGTGACATTGAAACAAAGTGGAAGGAGATTGCTGCAGCAGTGCTACCAAAGCCTGCAGGCCCAAGAAGTGGTGTTACAAGCTCAACTTTGATGGGAGCTCCAAAGGGGACCTGCGATCTGCAGGTCTAGGGGTATATTAAGGGATCATCGCAGGAGAATTCTCTTGGCATACTCCAGGTGGGGCTGCCAACATGCTTGGCCAGTCTGCGGCTTTTGGGCCAGCCTCACTTTTGGGCCCAATTTTAAGTCCCGCATTCTTGTCCTGGGCCTAAAGATAGAAGCCTGTTTTCATTTCTGGCGGGCCCAGGCTGCCCTTTGCCCAGCTGGAATTTATAATAAAAATAGGTACATCGTTTTGAATTGCCTTTGAAAGGTTAATCTTGATCATAATGTAAAACCAAGCAGTCATGACAAGTTTCTTAATTAAAAGGTAAGTGCCGCACATGCATTAATAGTTTAGATAAAACATGGTCTTACTTCTCTTTCAAACTTCTCAATTAAAAGGTAAATGCCGCACATGCATTAATAGTTGAGATAAAATGCTCTCTTACTTCTCTTTCAAACTTCTCTCACTTCTTTTTCTTGTTTTAACTAACACATTCTCTATACAATAGTACAATACACTTTCTCACTCTCTCTCTCTAACTTTTCCACTTCTTTTTTATTGTTTTAACTAACTCTCTCTCTACAATAAACACAAATTAATGATATAACAGACCGAAATACTAGAGTGAGAAAAAAAAGAACAGGGGAGCAAAGGAAAAGTCTTGCTCTTCCTTTTTTTCTGTTCCTCTTTAACTTACACCCACTCTGGCACATTGATTACATGACACCAAAAATGGATTTTTCTTACATTGGAATTTAAGAAAACCTACTTTTTAAGAGCGCCTAAAATTTAAAATATTGAACCATTATCTTCTCAAATTTTTTACTATTCCATGGAAATGGATCCATGGATGCGGGCCATGCTGGGCTGGGCCCGGGCCTAACCCGAGAAAATTATTTGGGTCCGGGTGGGACCTGGCCTAGCTAAAAAAAGTTCAGGCAAGGATCAGGCCCAGCAGTCAGCCTATTGGCACCTGTAACTCCGGGTCTCTTCATTATTGGGCAGCAATTGAATAAGAGGCACTATCGTTGCTAGCTGGGCTCAAAAGGATAGACATGAGGTGGAGTGGAATGATTGCTGAAGGTGATTCCCCATAATGTTGTTGCATGGGCCAGTGAAAAGGAATCCTGCCAATGGAAACTTTGGAGTGCCTTTTTGATTTTGGTGAGATATGTCAATATGCTAGGAAACTGCAGGTGATCCTTGTTCATACATGAGAGTCTAATGTGGAGGCAGACTCTCTTGCAATAGAAGGGATGGTTAAGCAAGACTTGGTTGTGACCATACTTAAAAGTGGTTGTGATTAATTTTTTTAAATTTTGTAGAATTTGTTTGTATATTCACTGTTTTCGTAATAGGAGGAACTACTCGTTTATCAATTCTTTTAATGATACGTCTCAACGATTAAAAAAAAAAATAGTTCCCAATGGGAGGTTTGGGGACAGAGTTTTCATGGCAGATCTCTTATTTGAGCAGATAGATTGGTACTCTGTTCTTCTTCAATATTGAGTTGCATGTTAGATGCTTTATATGAATTTATTTCATTAGATTATGTAATTTTTTTATTAGATTTATTAAGTTGTTGTTGTCATCTGTATTGTTGTTGTTGTTGTTCCTATCTTTTTTTTATAAGTCATTGGTTTCATACTACTCTCACATGATTATTTCAATTAATTACATCAAGATTCTGATTTTCTCGTCTTTCAGGCAATGGCAGATGCTGCACATCCTGCACGTATTTTAGAGACAAGGAAAACCGCCCCAGGTTTACGTTTGTTGGATAAGTGGGCGGTCTGTATCATATCTCCTGCTGTAGTGTCATGTCAAATTTTTTATTTATGTCTATCATGTTAAATTTATTGGTTTTTAGGTGTTCTAATCTGATCTGTTGTATGCCTGTTATGTTTCAGGTCCTTATTGGTGGAGGTCAGAATCATAGGATGGGTTTATTTGATATGGTGATGATAAAAGATAACCATATATCAGTCGCTGGAGGTATCACTAGTGCCCTCGCATCTGTGGACCAGTATTTGGAACAGAGAAGTCTTAAAATTCCTGTTGAGGTATTTTTCATGTGATATAACAAATTATCCATTACATATATTCTGCTATATTATGCTCTGTAAAATGTCGTGATAATGCAATCAAATGTTCCTTAACACTCTTAAGGGCCTTTGGCCTCTTTTGCCAGCCTACAAGTGGGACCCTATCGGTTCACTTTTCGTGAGAGCGCCAAATAGCATAAGAACCTCCTAACTTGCTGTTACATGTTACGTGATTTCATTTGGCAGGCAACTACTATGTGTTGAAATTAATGGCTTCTCTGGGTGCTTGATTACCCCATAGAATGTTAACTTTTGGTAATCTGCTTCCATGGCGAGCCTATTATTGGAAAATTCATAGTTTCCAGTCCAGAATTGATGTGAGAAATGATTCTGTGACTTTTGGCAGGAGCTGGAAAGCTGTCACGTAAATGTGAAAATGAGGAAGTGGGGAAAGAATGGTAATTTTGGAATAAAGTTACTATGCTATGGCCTATGAGGATGCCAGGGCCTTAGTTAGCCTAATAAGTAGGCAATTCTTTTAGTGAGGCCATAAGTCGTCACATCTTTTCTCACTACTTCCAACCATATCCTTTTGGGCTTACCCTTTGTCTTTTTTGAGCCACCCGTTTGAACCAACTTGCACCTCTTAACAGGTGTTGTACTGGGTCTGCTCTATACATGGCAGTGATTCAAAAAGCGGACTGCCCAGCGCCTAGGCTGTCCAGAAGACCTGGGGGCATTGCCCTGGCCTAGGTGGCCAATCTTGGCAGCAGTCCCTGGGTGAGCGCCTAGGCGGGTGCCCCGCTTAGAGGCGAAATTTTTTTTTAGAATATAAACAGTTAGAATGATGGTTTTAAGTTCATTTGAAACCTAAAACTTATTGGAGCCCATTTTAGAGAGAGAAAGCCTCCAAAAAAACCTAGTTTTTGGTGATTTCGTGAGGATCGAAGGGTTTCTCAATGTTGACAAAAATTGATCAACACATAACCCATTGATGTTAGATTTAATTTTTGATGTTTTATAAATCTATTGGGGTTTTTTTAGAAGATTTTGAGTCCTTAGAAGCATCTTTGAGGTGGAAGTTTGAAGATTGAGCAATCAAACTCAAAGTAGGTGCCCTAAATACCTAATTTTTATTTTTTATACTATATATCCTTTTTTATTCAAATGGACATCCTTTTTGGATTCGACTGGGCCGCCCAGGTTCTGGACGCCCGCCTAGGCGCTAGGCGGCCTGGACCCCCCAGGCCGTTTAGGACCCGCCTAGCGCTTTTTGAAACACTGATACATGGCCAACCCATCGAAGTTTATTTTCTCTCATCTGATCACCTATTGGAGCCACACGTGTATTAAGTTCTCCCAGATGTATTCACTTCAAATTCTATCTCTTCTTGTCTTTCGACTCATCCATTTCAACATTTTCATCTCAGCTACGCTCATCTTATGTGTATGTTGTTCCTTGATCACCTTACATCCCCACCCCATAAAGCAAAGCTGGTTTCACAGTTGTCCTATAGAATTTCCCTTCAGCTTCATTGATATGCAATGATCATATAAAACTCTGATTGCACATCTCCAACTCGCCCACCCAGCTCTAATTCGACCCAAGATATCGAAGGTGTGCTCATTTTGGTATTTCTTGGCCGTCAATCTTAATTACTTCCTTGTCTTTACGCTTATTATTATTAAACTTGCATTCCATATACTCTTAGTCTAGCTAATTTTAAAACCTTTAGATTCTAGAGCATCCCTCTAAAGTTATAACTTTGTGTTGATGCCGCTTTGGATCTCATCAATCAAAACTATATCATCCACGAACAACATACACCACAATACCTCATCTTGTAGGTGCCTAGTTAAGTTGTCCATAACTGAAACATAGAGGTATGAGTCAACTCTGACCTCTGATGTATATCTATTATCACTAAAAACTCACTTGTCTCTCTGCTACTTGTTTGCACACTAGTTAGCTCTCCCTCGTACATATCTCTCACCAAGCGATATAGTATCTGGAGACTCATTTTTTTTCCAAAACCCACCAAATTAAATCTCAAGGTAATTTATTATATTCTTTCTCTAGATCAATAAAAAACAACCATGTGGAGGTCTTTTCTCTTCGTCCTAAACTTTACCAAGACCCTTTGATCATCACTCATAATACATTTAATATAGTCTAGATCCTTATATTTGTTCTCTTTCATTTTTGCTAATTTGAAGAAAGTCCTACTGAAAAAAGAAAAGAAAAGAAAGTATAGATGCCCTTTATGTGACTGTTTTTTTGTGGTTTAGACACTCTCTTTCTCTGAGGAGAGTGAGCACAATCTCTGTAATGAATGCTTTGGAAGGAAAAGATACCTCAGTTGTGTAGGTAAGTTTGGTCAGTTGATAGCTGCAGTGACATCAGTGCTATTTGTATGTATCCCATGATTCTCTCATAACATGTCAAATAAGAGAAAGCCCCTGGATTAGACTCTTGTTGAAGTCAAGACTCAGCACTCAAACTGGTTTAAAATTTACTTTTCAGAAATAGTAAGGTAATTAACAAGTTTATACCCAAATATCACTATGATTTTTAGCATTTGATGCTTTTGCTTGTATGGTTATCTGCTTTTGCCTAGGAAACCAAAGTCAAAGTAGATTCGGTCCTTTCTCATATACCTTTTTTGAAGCATGTTGTTTGATTTAAATATTTTTTTGTTTTTTGGCTAAGTGTTGTGAATTCAAATCTAGAATCAGTATGATCTGCAATTGTGTCTTGCTTGTGCACTTTGTATAGGTTCGGTATATTTGTTATTTATTTTGGTCGGTATTTAAATTTTTGATTACTGTGATACTTGCTGCATATCTTTTTTGGCCAACTGTTTCTTATTTGCATACATGAGCAAATACTTTATCATATGCTTATCACTTCTATTGTTTTCATGTTAGATTGAGACGAGAACTTTAGATGAAGTGAAAGAGGTCTTACTTTATGCTTCACAAAGACGATCTTCATTGACACGCATAATGTTGGATAATATGGTTGTTCCACTCCCTAATGGGAATATTGACGTCTCTATGCTCAAGGAAGCTGTTAAATTAATAGATGGAAAGTTTGAAACAGAGGTAACTTCTAACTTTCCCTGATGCTCATGTCCATGTTTTTTCTTTTTTATTAGTTTTGTTTTCATTAAATAGTTAAATTCTACCGATCATAATGTGTTTACCATTTCCCAGGCATCCGGTAATGTTACTGTAAAGACAGTTAATAAAATTGGGCAGACAGGTGTAACATACATATCCAGGTAAATACCTTCCGTTCTTATCTGAGCATGGAAATTAATCTACATGAGAAAGTTTCTATAATTGAGCATATGAAGGAATTAGCAGTAAATACTAGTTCCAATTTTATTTTCTCTGATGCCCATCACTCAGAATGGACAGTGTATGTTGTGTACAATATACTGTACGCAACTATGATGCTAATCTAATGGTATGCTTCTCTATAGATTTTTTAGTGAATGAAAACATGTTTCTGCTTTCATGAAATCCATCGAAGCCTCGAGTTCTTTGTTGGCATGGAATTCTTATACGGTTGATGTTTTGGCAGCGGGGCTCTCACGCACTCTGTGAAAGCATTGGATATCTCTTTGAAAGTTGACTTGGAACTGGCACGGGAAGTTGGCAGGCGAACAAACCGGGCCTGAATATTGATGAGGAATGATGTCATCCTTGTGTATCAATATTTCAAGCACTGAGTTTGTTACCATTCTATTTAAATTTTATGATATAGGGTCTTCATTAAGTTAATAAGCTCAGAGAGACAGAAACAGCAGCATGGCTGTAGTTGCAGTTATTTGTCGTGTTTGAGTGAAGAAGCAACGTGGAGAGTGCTTCAGTCGTCTTGTTGTAATTAGTCATAGTTCGCATTGGAAACTGGGTTTCATTATTAGGTTGTATTGTCCAAACACCGCAGTAAAAATTCCTCAATTTAAGGGGGGATTGCTTAATTCCATTTGCAAAGACTGAACTGGGTATATTGGTGGCAGGCCAATATGACTGATGACATTTTGCTTGCTGCTTTTGAAGGGAGTAGTAATTTTGTGTCTTCAGTTTACTTTATGTAATTACATTACCCCTTTACCAACATTTCCTTAGCCTTTAGCTGCTTTTTCTTCTTCTTCTTATTTATTTATTTATTTAAAAAAAAAGTTTATATAGACTCGAGGTTCTAAACAATCAAATTAGAGCCCACCTCAAAAATTTCATTAGAAGAGGTTGTTTCGATGCCCAAATATCCTCAAATTGATCATCTTGACATCAAGATGCATGGACATGAGAAAAAAATTGATTTCAAGTCTTGGAAATAATGCATCTTGTAATGCATTTTTGAATTGTAAATTTTCAATATTTTCAAGTTTTATAGATTTGTTCAATCTATATTATTTTTGAAGCTTTAAATTTTATAATTAAAGATGAAAATATATTTTAAGGCTATCACAAAGATTTTCAGTATAGAAACCACATTTCTCGACACTATTTGAAGGTGTGTTTTACTTTGATAGCTTAAAGCTTGGGCTCTATACAAACCACACCTTTTATTAAATTATTAACCGTTCTGATGGTAAAAAACAGTGATATTGTGTATGACCAATTACCGTTGGAATTTGTTTCCCAATTCCTAATGTGAATGTTCATGGTTTTCCAAACTCCCAAAGTTATATTTTATGGTCGTTAGGGGTCACTTGATGGCACCGTAGTTGGTGGTGAATGGAGAGAGAGATCATTGACGTCCTGTTTTGGGTCCGTGAAAATTAATTTCCTTGATACCCTTCCCTGGAAATGAGACATACCAATGATTCCCAATAAATCTTACTGGTTTTTACCTGATATTTTTGTAAAAATTCCTACATAAATAGGTGAAAATATTATCTTTTGTAAATGAATCTTTTACCCTCGATCATCTCTCTTCTATAAACTCGATGTCCTCTCTCGCAAAACGTCAATCATTTCTCTCTAAAATTCAAGGAACTGTTTTTTTTTTGGCTTTTATAGAGTGCCAAATGAGGCCCAAGGATTTCAAGGGCTAATTGTCGACCACTATTTGGATAGGTGTATTTGTACGTTTGGAATAGGGATTTCTGACAACGATCCAAGAATTATCTAGGGAAAACTATAAAAAGCTCTCCAAAATAAACTTTTTATACAACTTACCTCCAACTACTTTTCTTTCTCATTTTTTTTTCAAAAAAACAAATTTTTTATGCAAATACCCCCCCCCCCCATCCCAATGATTAAAAAAAGACTTTACCCATTATGTAAGTGCGCTCTGGCACTGCGTAAATGTGTTCCGGCAATGTAACACAGTGCTCCGGCATTATGTAAGTGTGTTCCGACAATATAACACAGGGCTCCGGCATTGTTTAGGGGCGCTCCGGCAATATATTACGGGAAAGACACAACCCTCCGGCACTTCATAAGTGTGCTCTGGCACGGCGTAAGTGCACTCCGGCAGTGTAGCATTCTGAGTCACAGGGCTCCGGCACTATTTAAGTATGCTTTGGCATGTACTATGGGAAGGGCATTTTATTCTAAAAAAATGAACTTTTTCTCTTGGAAGGTATTTGCATAAAAAGTTTGTTTTTTTAGAAAAAAATGAGAGAAAAAGTTTGCTGCAGGTAAGTTGCATCTCAGTATATTTTGAAAGGTTTTTTGTAAAAAACACAAAAATGCGAGTTATTAATGGGAACCAAAGGTCTTCACTATTAATTTGAGAAAGTAGGAGAGAAAAATCATTACAGTGAAACCCAAAGCAAAAGCATTTTCATTCTCTCTCTAAAAAAACACAGTAATGCGAGGTATTAATGGGCAACCAAAGGTCTTCACCATTAATTTCAGAAAGTAAGAGAGAAAAGCCATTGCAGTGAAACCCAAAGCAAGCTTCTTGGTTACTATAAGAAGAGTAAGCATGGATATAACCACTTGTGAAAAGAGAGTTTTGTTAGCTCCATTGTCTAGTTTCTGATCTGAAGCTCTGACACAATAGAAGGTGAATCTGATCTGCTTTCTAAGGAAGATGTATACGATTCATTTATAGTTGTGGAATGATGATCAGGTTGCTCTATTGTTAAAGAAGTTCCATGAAGGCAGCAAAGTTTGGTGATTTGTAAAGAATCATTGGGGTTTTGTAGGTGTTAAAGGAGGCATATTTGTATTTTTTGACCAACGAAGCAGAGGAATTTGAAGTTTCTCACGTTAGAGAAGGATTTGATCCACTTCTGTCTAAAGCTAATGGTTCTGGTTCTCCATCCGGTAAAATAATTAAAGATGATGGCTTTGGTTATGTAACACTATGTAGATTGATCTAGTCCAAATCTGGCAATTTTTATAGAGGAATTTGTTGAAAAACTAGAGGGAAGAGATGAACCCGTTCTTAGGATTAGGGGCAGTGTCGAGAGACTATCGATCGTAAAGATCAGGTTTTTATCCGAACTGTGAGAATTCTGTGAATTTCTGTGAACCTTTCCATGACTATGAAATCCCTACTTAAAGAGGGATGGAGGAGGCCATTCTCTCTTGAAATCTCTGAGAAAATGTGGCTATGTAATCTTCGAAAGTGGGTGATTACTTTCTACCTTTTAGATAATGACATTTCTTCTCACTAAGAAACTGAAATCACTAGGAAAACGTGGTCATGATATCCGCCGAAGTGGGTGGTTACTCTCTAACCTTTAGATAATGACACACTCTCTCTCTAAAAAGCTGAAATCTCTTAAAAAATGTGGCACTGTTATTCTCGGGAGTGGGTAGTTACTTTCTAGCCATTAAATAACGACACTTTCTCTCTCTAAAAAGCCTTCATTTTTTAGTGATAAGTATTAAATTATAAAAAAGATAAATATTGCACGTTTAAAAGCCCCATGGCCATACACACTTACCAACAGAATTTAGAGAATTTATTGTAAATGTTTAGATTTTTTCTTCTTTCCAAGTCAAAGATTATAGATTACATATGGCCATACACACTTACCAACAGAATTTAGAGAATTTATTGTAAATGTTTAGATTTTTTCTTCTTTCCAAGTCAAAGATTATAGATTACATATGGATCGAGCAATGCTTTTAGAATGATCACTCCATCCAAATAGTCCAACATGATAAAAAAAGATTACAATGTTTCTTAACGAGCATATGAAAATTGTAGAGATCAAGTTTCAGATAGAAAAACTACCAAAAAAATTTAGAGAGAGAAACTATCTCAAATTTTAAATTTTAGAGAGAGAAAATATCTTAAAACTTTAGAGAGAGAAACTATATAAAAATAGATAGAGAAAATATTTGAAATATTTAGAGAGAAAAATATTTAAATTTTTTTATATAGAGATACTATCTCAAATTTTAAGTATTAGAAAGAGAAAGTATATTAAAATTTAGATAGAGAAACTACTTGAAAATTTGAGAGAGAGAAACTATATCAAATTTTAAATTTTAGATAGAGAAAAATATCTTAAAACTTTAAAGAGGGAAACTATATCAAATTTTAGATAGAGAAAAATGCCTAAATTTTTTAGAAAGAGAAACTATTTGAAAAGAGTTTAGATAAAAATGCTATATCAAATTTTAAGTTTTAGAGCGAAAAAGTATATTAAAATTTTAGAAAGATAAACTATCTCAAAATTTAAGTTTTAGAAAGAAGGCATCTTAAAGTTTTAGAGAGAGTAACTATATCAAATTTTAGTATGAGACAAATTTTAAGTTTTAGATAGAGAAAGTACTATAAAATTTTAGAGAGATAAACTATATTATATTTTAAGGAGAGAAATTACTTGAAATTTTTAAAAAGATAAACTATTTGAAATTCTTTATGAACGAAACTATATCAAAATTTTAGAGAGAGAAACTATATCAAATTTTAGAGAGAGAAAGCTCATAAATTTTTTTAGAGAGATCAACTATCTCCAAATATTTAGATAGAAAAATTATTTCAAATTTTAAACTGTATTCAAATTTTAGAGAGAAAAATTATCTCAAAAGTTAGAGAGAGAGAGAGAAATTTTATTTTTATAAAAAAGATATTCGAGACAATCCAAACATGGAATTTGTATTTTTTTTATTTTATACCGTATGCGATCGAAACAGGGAATTGCCATTTCCAGATAATCTCAAGTCCAAGATTGGCTTTTCCAAAGATTGAAAAATCCAGGAATCCAAACGGGCCATTATCGTGGAATTTTCCAACTTTCCAGCCATCGAAAATTCCATATTCCAAAACCTTACTGAACCAGAGATTTGTGATACGGCGGGCCCACAAAAACGAATATTTGTTACAAAACATTTCAAGTTTTCAGGGCTCCATTTCCATGGCTACTGAAGTTGCAGGATTAGGGTATTCATGGCGCTCTTCCTGTCCTTCTACCTTATACCCTCGCTCCTTCAGATCCTTACATTCAAAACCAGTAAAAGTGGCATTTGCTTCTTTAGCAGAAAACCGGAGCATTTCCTTCACTGATTCTGAGACGCATTTACTCGAATGCTTATTGGGTGTCCAAGGTCGCGGGCGCTCTGCTTCTAAAGCGCAACTCCAGGTACTTCTAGGGTTTCCGGTTTGCCAATGGGCACTTGTAAGTTAAGGTATTTCTAGGGTTCGAGTTCATTCATGGGTTTTATTGTGCTTTCTTTCCAGTGGGGAGCATCTTTTAGGATTTTGGTTTGGTTATCTACTCTAGTCTCATCTCAAAATTGCACTCACATAGGAAGTTACAGGTGCTGGCGTAGAAGCTTAGAATTAAAGAGTTCTGTAACTTAGAAAAAGTGGCAAAAAGTTTTTATTAGAAAACCCACTGCATTTGATGAATCCTTTTTTTAAAATAAGTTTCATATAAAATCTCAAATCCATTTTTATTTTACTTCCAAATTAATGAAAAAACGTGTAATTCCTGATCTCTTTAGGAAGAGTTATTAAATTTTGACTCATTTGATATTTGACTCAAGAATTGGTGTTGAATTTTCTGAATTCCTAGTGCTTCATGACATACTCAAATGGAGTATTTTATGATTGTTTTAATTTGGATTTGTTTTATGCATTCGTCACCCTATTGGAGATCTGTTGGTTTATGAAATTAATTAATGATTTTGGGAGGTGAATGTCTTGGTGTAGAATGTGACTTTCGAGATATAATCCAGGATGTGGATCAAGCTGTGCAGGTCCTCGAAAAATCTGAAGGTGTCAGGGACCCTGTAAGTCATGAATTAGTGAAACTTTGTTGTTTATTTTCTATTTTCAAAATTGTTTATTTTGTTAATACTGGTAGAATGGGGTATGCAAAAAGTGAGACTGGATTTTTAAACACTCTCATCAATCTTTGTTGGATTTGCAAATTTGATGTAGTATAAGTGTAGTTTTGGTTCACATATTCAAGGTTAATTCCTTCTGAAAAGATGCAATTGATTCTTTATTGGTGCTTGCTGTATCTGAATATTACACTGTAGTTTTTACTAATCATGTACCTCTGTGTTAATCATTTTGTAAAATAATTTATACATCTTCTGCTAGTACTGTTCAAATCTGCAATTGCTAGTACTTTTTTATTTGGCCTACTTTGTCCTTGTTTATTTTATTCGGTTGCATAGGCGTGCTTATACACTCACACTTGGTGACAGCCCTATTTCTTACTTGAATACAACGCTGCTGCATTTGCTTATTTATACTTTGATGAATAGTTTATGCAAGTCTTTCTAGATGAATATGCCAAATTTTCTTCTGGGGAAGAGCATCCCCCATATTTTACTGATCTCCAATCTTGATGGTTCTGCTAGTATGGATTGTATCATCAAATAAACTTATATCTTTTCATTGCATTAAGTTAGGATCTCATATTGGTGAACTACAATTTGGCAGACAAGCTCCAGCCTGATTGAAGGTTGTTGGCAACTTATCTTTACTACAAGACCGGGCACTGCATCTCCAATTCAAGTAAAAGTTTCAAGAAGTTGTTTGGAGATTTAATATGTTGATTATTATATTCTTAAGTAGTGTTTGTTGTTCATGACATGTTTAAATGCTTTCTTTAGAGGTTATAATGAACATAAGTACTCATGAATTGGATACATAGGAAGGATGCATATCAAACTAGTTACTCATGTAATGTTATATGCTTACATGTTTATACATGACCATGTTCTGTCGGATTTTACATTCATATGACTTTTCTTTTTTTTTAGAGTACTTTCATATGTACTTTTTATGGTTATGCATCACTATGTTTACATATATGCTTCTAGCCTTCCAAAATAGGTGATATAGGCTTACTAATAACTATGCCAATAGTCATTTGCTAGTTTATTAGTCATTTGTGCTTTTCAGCCTCACGATACCCATGTCACTTTCCCTCAATAGGAAGCAACCTAAGTTTCCAATCCTAATTGTTCTCCATAGCATAAGATCTTTGAGGAAAGTCTATTTCCTTTGGAAACTGGGATTGTCAAATGGTGTAGAAAAAGGGGGGACATAAACAGATAGAACCCCTAGAATCACGAATGATTAGAATAACTTCAAGAAAAGAATAAAAAAGAATCTAGTACCTTAATATGTGAAGTAATAGGAGCAGGAATCTAGTCTTAGAAGATTATTAAACAAAATGAATAATTTTGAAAAGGGTGTGGTTTCCATAAGGTTGCAACCTTAAACAATCCAATTAAGGTGCAACTTCAAATTTTATCATGACATAATTTTGATGTAAAATATTCTTAGGATTATCTCAAAATCTATTTTCATATTTAATTATAAAATTTTGAACTCCAAAAATGATTAAGATCAAGTAGATCTATAAACATATTGAAAACTTGAAAATGGACGGTCTAGATAATGTATTGTAAGTGCACTATTTCTGGTACTCAAAATCATTTTTTTAGTCATAGTCATACATCTCGATATCGAGATGTTTTTCGACATTAAAACAACCTTTGCGGATGGATTTTTGTGGTGCATCCGTAGTTCTACAATTTAAGGTTGCTCCCTTATATCAACTTTTTCCTTTTGAAAATGCTTTTTTAGATTGTAAATCTTTGCAGAAATGTCAGAAACTAGTATGCCATTGTAAATTCTATTTACAGTTTTGACCATTGTGTCTTGAAAAATATTTGACAACCTTACAATATTTGTTTCCATAGTGCTTAAAGCTTTCTTTGCGACTACTTCTAATTCTTGAAAATGATGTTAGTGGTTTTTTTTTAAAAAAGCAGGTTCTGTTTATTATTATTCATTATTTGTTTGAAAATTGACATTGCCATTTTGTGCATGGTTGCTAGAGAACTTTTGTTGGGGTTGATACATTCAGTATCTTTCAAGAAGTTTATCTAAGGACAGATGACCCCAGGGTCTGCAACATCGTGAAGTTCTCAGATTCAGTGGGTGAGCTGAAAGTAGAGGTATTCTATTGTATACTTATTCCCTTCCTACAATTTTCATTGTGTTTCTTAGCAGTAATTTTTCATAGCTGCTGTTTAAATCCCATCCTCCATTTGTTTTTGTGTAACATGATTGATCAGTATGACCCTCACAACATTTTCATTTCTTAGGTGCTATTTATTTAAGCACTTTAAGACATGAACTAAGCCTGAACTTAGCAGCAGTTTGCATGGGAAATGGCTACTTGGACTGAGATTCTGACTTCTGTACATGCAACAATTTGATAGGCAAGTTATGCCTCATGTACCATTGTGTTGATCCTTTATACACTCGGGCTGTATAGCTGAAAAAGTTTTCAATCACTTGTGCTTACTATTACTTTTCTGCGTATAGCTTATCTGTGTGTTGCAATGATCCGATTGAGGCATCATAACCGCCAACATATTGAAAAATATGGATAAAGGTAACAGGAGAATTATGCTTACTGCTGTGCTAAGAAGGTTGATCTAATGTTTAACATTTGAACCTGAAGCCATTTTTCAGTCGCAACAATTTATTATTTTGCTTTAACCTGAAGCCATTTTTCAGTCGCAACAATTTATTATTTTGCTTTAATTTTTAATACTTTGCTTTAACCTGTTTACTTTTCAGTGACTTCTATTCTATTTGGTTTGCCAGGCGGCAGCATCGGTTAAAGATGGAAAACGCATCCTTTTCCAGTTTGACAGGGCAGCATTCTCCTTTAAATTTTTGCCTTTCAAAGTTCCGTATCCAGTGCCATTTAGGCTTCTAGGAGATGAAGCAAAGGGTTGGTTGGATACTACTTATCTCTCTCACTCTGGAAATATTCGTATTTCAAGAGGAAATAAGGTACACGCTGATCAGTTTTATGTACCCATGTTCCAAATCATTCTGTTTTTTTCCAAATGCTTGAGGATAGTTAGTGTAATATGTTAACATTACTTATGATCTTTTGAATTATTAGTCTGCTTCTCTTTTTACGGTCTGATTTATTCTTTTAGATGGTTTAATAACTTATGGTGTTCTGTGCAGGGCACCACCTTTGTTCTGCAAAAGAAAATTGAACCGAGGCAGAGATTATTATCTGCAATATTGAGAGGGAAGGGAGTAAGAGAGGTTAGTAAATCTGTTCCTTATTTGGTGCTTCCATTCAGTCTGTCGTTTTATGGTAAATGTTGATTATATCCAGTTTTTGCCACTTAACTGCCATATGTTCCAACAGGTCGTAGAGGAATTTATATCTTCAAATCAGGATGTACAAATTAGAGATCCAGAATTTGGACTAGGAGAATGGCAATTATTATGGAGTTCTCAGGTATTTTTCATTATTGAAAATCATCGTGTTTTTCTACATTATCTGTCTATTACACAAAGAAAGACACTATTATCCTTTTGTGCACTCTAGGACATGTCTACATCCTTAAATCCATTGTGACCTTAGATATAGTGCTGCACCTTTTATATCCCCAGGCATCCTGACCCATGTGCTCTACTTGTAAACATCAGCTGGTTTATCCATATTCCATAGTAATGCTATACAGCTAGGTCTTTTTGATTGGTAAAAATGGGTGTGGCCTAAGTGTTCTCAGGGTAAAGAGTAACATAGTGCCAGTAGTGTTCATGGGTAGGAATATGAAGTAGTGATTCTGAGAGTGTAACCTCCCAATCTGTACTTTTGTATTGATAAACATCTCTCTTTGTTTACCAATGGAATCTACAACCTGGAAAGGAAATATGTAGATTATTGTTTTAATCTAATGGTTTTATGCAAATGCTTTTTCTTTGTATAGTGGAAAAATGGAAAAGTATTATCTGCAGAGGAATTTTTTAACATAAAATTTCATCAGTAACATAATTTAACACTGACATATGAGCCTCTTAAAATTTGTCTGGTCCTTTCACTCTCACTTGCATAATATCTTTTTCTTTCCTGTACCTATACCTGTGAGACATGTTTCTTTGGAGTTTGAAACCATCCGCTTGAACTTGCTGCATCTTGTTTGACTGAGTAAAATACCATGAATGTTTCTTCCTTCTAATTGAATGCCATTGTTATCACAGCCTGAAGATGAAAGTTGGTTAGAGAGTGCTGCCAGTGGACTCAAAGGTTTGCAGGTAAACTGAGCAAAAAAATTTATCCTTGCATACTTAAGAAATAAAAGAATCATAGAGTGCTTCACATAAAAAATTTTCTGACTTTGCTATTTTTCATTCAGTCATTTGCAATACTGCATCCTTGGAGGATGTTGCTCCAAGTATATGATGATCATAATAATTTATCTTTCCTCCTTCAGATGGTCAAGGAAAATGGATTATTAGAGAATCAGATTCAGCTGTTTCCAGGAGTTAGACTGCAAGTGCGAGGCAACTACACGTACGTTCCCTGAATCCTTGATTACACTACTATAAAATATAAGGTAGGAAATGAAGAATCTTTTAAGCAACAGGTTACTGGGAAGGTTGTAAAAAAACAGCGATGCAATGGCCATAATGGCATTATAAAGGAAACGGCCTCTGAGAATAATGTTTATAAAGGTAGTGCTGCACAAAAAAATACCTAACAAGTAGAACGCATATCCAACTTCTATACAAAAATTATGTTGTAAAAATTTGCATAATGACCATTATAATAAAAAAGGGAAATTTACTAAAATACCCATGAGAGATGAGCTATTTACTAATCTATCCATATTGTTTGATTTAATTTCAAAATACCCATCAAAACCCAAATGATCATGAGTTGGAATAGTTGCAAATGGGTAGAATGTTAAATAATTCATCTTATTTGATAAATTTCCCGAATGAAAATAACCAAAAAATGGTCTCTATAAAAGGAAAAAAGCCCTTCCATAAAGAAAATAGGAAAATGATTTCTTAGATATTTTGCTGTTATAATCTGTTATATATGCATTTTTCAGTTTTTTTCTGTTTTATATCCATTTTTTCCCATTATCGATGTTCTATTGTTTCTCACCTTCTCACATTGGAGATTTTTGAAGTTAGTCTTTATGGTATGCTGCACCTTTTGAAGTTAGTCTTTATGATACATTGATAACCTAGAACTGAGATTCCTTTCGTCAATTGCTCTGTCGTTAGGCTTTTACCCTATTGTTTGTAGTGGTTTCATTCAGTGAAACAACCATGATAAGTACCCAAACAATGAACCTGCACATAAACAGTTTCTATATACAGCTTATGCACATCAATGAAATTGTGTAATTGATAAAAAGAAAAGAGAAATATCAGAATGGAGCACATTCTCCTGTGGCATTTTTTTTCCCCAGGGTTTTGTTGTAATTCTGAACTATTGTTGTAGTGAGTGCTTTGAAAATCTTAAACAAGGTGCCTTCATCTGTGATCATCTGGTCCCGTGCATAAGCTTGGCTTTCATAGCTGCTTCCTTTAGCTATGTTCTAGGGCTTGTGATGGGAGAAACAAGGTCATATTTTTTAGATGCATGTGACTTAGAACATGGGGCATAATCTTTTGAAAACACCAAAAACCATTTATATTACACACCAGATTGGACAAGCCTTAGCATAAACCCGGTTACTGGTTTATGTGAAGGACTCCTTCAAATCTTCTGTAACTTGTTTGACCCGTGGCTATGGAACCTATCCCACATGCTTTAAGAAATACGATCATTCCTTTTGTTCCTCTGCTTGCTCGTATACTTTTTATGCTTTTCTCAATAAAGGATTTTTACTCTTCAGTTTCTGATATACTTTTTGAGGGGCTTCTGAATCCATTACCGATGTTGAACCTTATATATTCATATAGATTTCAAAATACACATTCCACTGAGTATCCTGCTCTGAATGCTAATATTCATGAAATTTGGAGAGAGTTTTCTTTAATTTCATGACAAACTTCGAACTGTGAGACTTTGCCTGATTACAGAACTTTGAGCCAGAAGAAATATGAGGTGGTAATCAACGAAGTGGCACTTGTTCTTGGTGCATTTAGGTTCCCTCTTGATATCAGCAAAAAGGTCAATGTAGAACTCTTGTAAGTGTTAGTCAACTTAAACAACATAAGTTTACGTTTTGCCCACCTCTCTCTCTCTCTCTCTCTCTCTCTCTCTCTCTCGTCGTCGTACGTCGTACGTACGTACGTACGTACGTACGTACGTACGTACGTACGTACGTACGTACGTACGTACGTAGTACGTAGTAGTAGT